ATATGTTCCTCTTGACCAAAATGCTGATCCAGTGTACAAAATATTGAAGTCTGTTTGCCAATATTTCCAGGTATTTTTCAGGTGTGCATTTCCTAATTAAATATTTACCCCCAAATAATAATTCTAAAGGTCTTTGAAAATATAAACAAATTGTTTGAAAAATCTTCACAAAAGGTCAACACAGAAATATAATATTACAATAGATCTTTTTTTATTTACATATTGCATCTGCAGTATTGTATTGTCCACTGGCTGTGTTCGGTGCAATAAGGGTGACTTGTCCTTTACAGAGCGCTGGGTCAGGGAGCCTTCGGGGAGGTGTACCAAGGTTACCTCAAGAACTACGCTGGTGACTCTGTGGAGATGCCCGTAGCTGTCAAGGTGAGTTATCCTGCCCTGCCCCCTGTAGACCCTGCCCCACCTCTGCCCCCTGTAGAGCCTGCCCCACCACAACCCCCTGTAGAGCCTGCCCCACCTCTGCCCTCTGTCACGTGGCACTGTACAGCCTGTCCCACCCCTGTCACGTGGCACTGTACAGCCTGTCCCGCCCCTGTCACGTGGCACTGTACAGCCTGTCCCATCCCTGTCACGTGGCACTGTACAGCCTGTCCCGCCCCTGTCACGTGGCACTGTACATCCCGTCATCTCCGTCTCTCTCAACAGATCAGTCGTGTCTACAGTATTTACCTCAACAATATTTACTTTATGAGTGGTCCATCTATACTGTTGTTCCCGAGTGTTAAGAGGTCACATTATGGGTCAAAAAGTGGCGTAATATTACTTCTGGAACCTGTGTGTGTGTGTGTGTGTGTGTGTGTGTGTGTGTGTGTGTGAAACAGTGTGGGTTGGCTGTTAAAGGTCTCCCGTGTCATCACCTGCTAGCTGGCTTAGTAAACAGTTCGGGAATAAAGTGTAGATGTCAACCCAAATGGAATGGAGAAGTTTAAAATAATGATGGTCAGTTTTCTTGACTTATCTTGTGTGTATATTCTGAATGCTATGTTGGAGACTGCTTGGCTGAGTGTAAGGGTGCTGTAAAGATGGGCTGAAGGGAGAATTGTGTGGAGAAAAATTTAGTTTGTCTCCACACACACACACACACACCACACACACACAGCACACACACACACAGCCATTGAATATTTTAAATGGAAGACAAAAGTCTTGAATAAGTGAAGAAGTTAGCAGGTAAAAAAATATTGAATGTAAAAAAGTTTGTGTAAGCAGGCTTGAGTGTGAAAAAATCCCTTGATTGAGATAGAATACTGAGTGAGCCAGAGAGAGCCACACTGTATCACAGCTCTCAGGTGAAAATAGTGTATTGTTGTATAATACTTACACTTGGACATACAGACAGACAGAAGCTTTACGAGTGATGAAGGAAATATGAGATGAATTAAAGGATTTAGATGAAGTTATGGGAGGATAAACAGGAAGACCGTGTCGGAGGAGCTAAATATGTATAGTTATATGCAGAAGTTTATCAAATTCTGTTAAGATAATTTTTTCCTGACAGACATAATGTGTGTGTGTGTGTGTGTGTGTGTGTGAATTCATTTCAATAATTCACAAATATCATGAAGGAGCACAAATACCAAGTTAATATGCTCCAAATACCAATAATAACTAAACCATCTAACTAACTAATTCCTTGAAGACCTTTTATCAACCACAGACTCTTTCTCACTCCACCTACAGACACTGCCAGAGATGTCCAGTAACCAGTCCGAGATGGATTTCCTGATGGAGGCTCTGATCATGTCCAAGTTTGCTCACCCTAACATTGTACACTTCATCGGGGTCTGCTTCGATAAACTGCCTCGCTTCATCGTGCTTGAGCTGCTATCTGGCGGCGACCTCAAGAGTTTCCTAAGAGAAGCAAGACCCAAACCCGTAAGTGTTGGTGAAGTTCAGTTGTTTGTGTATGAGTGGGTGTTTGTTTGTTTGCTGTATGAGGGTGTTTGTTTGTGGGGGGTTTTTCTGTATAAGGGTGTTTTTGTGTAAGTTTATTCTATTATAAGGACTACCACTATCACTAACACTACCACAAACACTAACACTACCACTATCACTAACACTACCACAAACACACCACTAACACTACCTATCACTAACACTACCACAAACACTAACACTACCACTATCACTAACACTACCACAAACACTAACACTACCACTACCACTAACACTACCACTACCACTAACACTACCACTAACACTACCACTAACACTAACACTACCACTACCACTACCACTGCCACTACCACTACCACTAACACTATCACTAGCACTACCACTAAACACTACCACTAACACTTTTCTCTTCAACACTACCACTACTATACCATAAACACTACCACTAACACTACCACTAACACTACCACTACCACTAACACTACCACTAACACTACACTACCACTAACTTTACCACTAACACTGCCACTTCGGCACTGCCACTGCCGCTGCCACTAACGCTGCCACTAACGCTACCGCTAACGCTGCCACTACTAGCACTGCCTGCCACTAACTGCCGCCTAACTGCTACCACTAACGCCTAACACTACCACTAACACTAACACTACCACTACCACTACCACTAACACTACCACTACCACTAACACTACCACTAACACTACCACTACCACTAACACTACCACTAACACTACCACTACCACTAACACTACCACTAACACTACCACTAACACTATCACTAACACTAACACTAACACTAACACTACCACTACCACTATCACTAACACTACCACTACCACTAACACTATCACTAACACTAACACTATCACTAACACTACCACTAACACTACCACTACCACTAACACTAACACTAACACTAACACTGCGACTACCACTAACACTAACACTGCCACTACCACTAACACTGCCACTGCCACTAGCACTACCATATCACTAACACTACCTACGACTACCACTAACACTACTAGCACTACCACTAACACTACCACTGCCACTAACACTGCCACTGCCACTAGCTACCATAACACTGCCACTAACACTAACACTACCACTGCCACCTAACACTTACCACTAACACTACCACTAACACTATCACTAACACTACCACTAACACTACTACCACTAACGCTGCCTATCCTGCACTAACACTACCACTGCCGCTGCTTGCTGCCACTACCGCTGCCGCTGCCACTAACCACCACCACTGCCACTGCCACTAGCTACCACTGCCATAACACCACTATGCCGCTAACACTGCCACTAACGCCTAACTACCACTACCGCTAACACTACCACCAACACTACCGCTTACCGCTACCACTGACACTGACCTGGCACTAACACTGCCACTACCGCTAACACTGTCACTGGCACTGCCACTATCCACTGTCACTGCCACTGCCACTGACACCCCCCACCACCCACACCACAACCCCACCACAACCACCCCAACCCCCCAACGCTCGCCACTTCAACGCTGCGCTCCCACTCGCTGCCACTCTGCACTGCCACTACTTGCCGCCACAAGCTTGCCACTAACGCCACTGCCACTATCCCCACCTAACACTACACCATTTTCTCAACGCTTTCTCACCCCACTTTGCTACCACTGCCACTGCCCTACGCTACCACTATCACTATCGCTTGCTAACGCAAACACTCACTGCCACCACCACTAACCACTGCCACTACTACACTATCACTAACACTTCAACCTACCACCCACTAACCACTACCACTAACCCAACGCCACTTACTACCTCCACCAGCCTGGCTTCTTCCGCCTAACACTACCTTGCCTCTGCAGCACTGCCACACCTGCTCACTACCACCTGTCACTAACACTGCCACTACGTACTTCACAACACTGCCACCCCAGCACTCCTCTACCGCTACCAACCACTAAACGCTTCCACTGTCCCTAATCACTGACCGCTTTCCGCTGCCGCTGCCACCACCACTTTCTCCGCCTAAACGCTGGCTAACCACTGCCGCTGCCACTGCTGCCACTGCCACTGCCACTGCAACACTGCCACTGCCGCTGCCGCCCCTGGCACTGCCTGCCGCCTTTCTAGCTTGCTGCCGCCAACACTTTCACCACTGGCGCTGTCGCTGCCGCCTGCCACGCTGCCACTGGCACTTGCTGCCACTGCCGACTGCCACTGCCGCTCAACCTTCAACGCCCTGCCACTGCCACTGACGCTGTCGCTGGCGTTGCCACTATCACTATCGCTGCCGCTGCTGCTAACGCTTTCTGCCTGCCGCTTCTGCACTGCCACTGCCACGCCCCTAACCCGCTGGCTTTACCGCACCGCCGCCTGGCACTGCCATACCGCTGCCGCCTAACACTGCCGCTGCCACTGCCGCTGCCACTACCACTGTCACTTCAACACTACCGCTGACGCTGCCGCCTGACGCTCAACGCTGCCGCCTGCCGCTGCCGCTGGCACATCGCCACTGCCACTGTCTTTGCCACTGCCGCCGCTGCCACTGCCGCTGCCACTACTCACTGCGCCGCTCAACACTGGCGCTTCCACTGCCGCCGACACTGCTGCTGCCGCTGCCACGATGAACCGCTGCCACTCGCCGCCTGGCACTGCCGCTGCCACCACGCCTATCAGCCTGACGCTCACTGCACTACCGCCAGCACTAACGCTGGCGCTACCGCTGCCACTGCCACTGCCACTGCCGCTGGCTTGCTGCCGCTAACGCTGCCACTGCCGCCGACAACGCTAACGCTGGCGCTAAACGCCTGTACCACTGCTGCTGGCACTAACGCTAACACTACCACTGCCACTGCCACTGCTGCTGCACAACTAACGCTGAGCACTGCCACTGCCACCAGCACTCTAACGCCGGCCTTGCCACTATCCTTTATCGCTGTCACTGCCACTGCCACCTGACACTTTCACCATAACTGCTTTCTTCCTGCACTAACGCTGCCGCTGCCACTGCCAACGCTGCCACTGCCGCCGCCTAACGCTGCCACTGCCGCTGCCGCTGCTTCAACGCTGCCCGCTGGCCTGCTGCCACTGCCGCTCGCTAACGCCTGGCTGCGCTGCCGCCAACGCTGCCGCTGCCGCTTTCTGCACTCGCTGGCTTGCTAACACTGCCGCTGCACTAACACTTATCACTCCACCACCACTAACGCTAACTGACACTGCCTGGCACTAACAAACGCTGCCACTGCCACTGCCACTGCCACCTAGCTCACTGCCACTAACGCAGCACTACCACTACTTGCTGCTAACGCCTAACACCTAACGCTGCACTTCATCACTGTCACCTAACGCTGCCACTGCACCACCTGCCACCAGCCTTTCTGCACTACCACTGCCGCTAACGCTGCCACCCCAACGCTTCAACGCTGCGGCTGACACTGCCACTTACACGCGCACCAACGCTGCCACCAACCTGCCGCTTCAACGCTACCGCTGCCACTTCAACGCTAACGCTCAACACTCTCAACGCTAACCGCCATAAACGCCACTCGCATGACGCTGCCACTGCAGCGAAACGCTGCCGCTGCCGCCACTGCTGCCGCTGCCGACCTGACGCTAAGCACTGCCGCTGCCACTGGCACTGCCTGCTTACTGCGCTGACGCCAACGCTGCTCGCCGCGCCACTGCCGCTGGCTGCCGCAGCACTTCAACGCTACACACTGCCGCCTGGCACTTTCAGCACTGCCGCTAACCTGCCGCCAGCACTGCCGCTGCCACTGCACTGCCACTGAACGCTGACGCTGACGCTGCCACTGCCGCTGCCGCTGACGCCGCCCTAACCGCTGCTGCTGCAGCGCACTGGCTGCTGCCGCAAATCGCCCCTGGCACGCTGCTGCACTTTCGCCTGCCAGCTTCAGCGCTGACGCTGCGCCACTGGCATCCGCACTTCAACGCTAACCCGCTGCCGCTGCCGCTGCCGCTGCCGCTAACGCTTCAGGCCGCTGCTATCCTGCACTTCGACGCTCTGCGCTAAACGCCCTGCTGCCGCCGCCGCCAGCACTTTCGCCGCCTGACGCTGCCCTGCCGCCGCCGCCACCGCCGCTCGCTTCCGCTAACGCTGCCACTGCTAATGCGCTGCCACTGACGCCAGCACTGGTATCAACCGCCACTAACACTGCCACTGACGCTATCGCTGCCGCTAAGCTTGCGCTAACGCTACCGCAACACTACCACTAAACGCTGAACACTGCCACTAGCTAACACTGCACTACCACTACCACCACTGCCACTAGCTTGCCACCACGCAACACTGCCACTGCCGCTGCAACCACTCTCTCACTACACTGCACCGCCTAACACCAGCACTGCCACTAACGCTGCCACTGCCACTAAACCCCCCAGCACTGCCACTGCCACGCCACCAGCACTGCCACTTCAACGCCGCCGCCACTTCAACACTGCCGCAACCCCCACTGCCGCCTAACGCCCACAAACACTGCCGCCTAAACGCACCAACCACTTCCGCCACACCCTGCCACCTAACCTCAAACGCTGCCGCTAACACAAACGCTGCCACTAACGCTAACACGCCACCCCAGCACTTCCACGCCACTGCCACTAACACTGCCACTTCCGCCTGACACTGCACTGACCAACACTTCCACTCAACACCCCCACACTGCTACCGCCAACACTGCCACTAACACTAACACTCACCACCTAACCACCCTGCCACCTGCACCCCTAACCCCAGCACCACTACCACTAACACACCACCCCATCGCTAACACCCGCACTACAACAACTTGCCCTACCACTAACACTAACTTTCACCACCCACTAACACTGCCACCAATATATTCACCATACATGCATGTTTACTGCTGATCACTCGTCTCTGTTGACCTTTCATCTACAATCATGTTTCCAGTGTCATCTTAAAACTTACCTAAACTCATTAAAATCAATCATTTCTCCAAAATAATGTAGTTTTTAGTCATTAAAAAATAACCTTACTTATATTTCCATTTACTTTATTATCTCTCTCTCTCTCTCTCTCTCTCTCTCTCTCTCTCTCTCTCTCTCTCTCTCTCTCTCTCTCTCTCTCTCTCTCTCTCTCCCTTTCCTCCTCCTCCTTTTGCCTTTTCTTTCTCTTCATAGTCATCACTTTTCTTCTTCTCTCCTTCTTCTTCCTCTTTCTCTTGACCTCCTCCCTCCTCCTCTTCCTTATTTCTTCCTCTTTTTCCTCCCATTCCTGTCCTTCTCCACTCTTTCCTCTCTTCACTCCCTGTCTTGCTCGCTTCTTCTTCCTCCTCCTCCTTTTCTCTTCTCTCTTACTTACATCTCTATTTACTCCTTATTACTTCATCTCCTATATCTTCTTATATATTCATCCCCCTCTTTCATCCTCCTCTTCTCCTCTTCTTCTCCTCCACCTCCTCTTCCTCTTCCTCCCCTCTTCTCCTCCTCCTCTCTTCTCCCCTCTCTCTTCCTCTTGTCCTCAGATATAGAAAAACCGACAGATAAAATTAGTAATCATGATACTGGAGATGGATGATGCCTTTGA